TTCCTCCACTGAAAAATATGTGCCTAGAGAAAACCCTCGTAGGAAAATATCTGGTTAAAATTAACATCTTGGCCATGTTCAAAATGAGGAGAAGTGATGTCAGCCATATGGATGGGAGGAGGAGGCCCAGTATGCATGAAGAAGCCTACAAAATGTTGAACAAGGGCTGTCACATCCTCTATAGACAACAAGCCCCCACCAGCCACAAGTCCCATGTTAGTAACCTCATCACTATCATAAGATGAAGCGGAAGTTACCATTATTTGAGAATTCATAATGCCAGGAAATCACCCAACGTATTTTTTTTCTCTAAGTGAAATTAAAAAACTACACTGATTATGCAAAAAGTGAACACTAAACCAGAAAACTTGAACAAAAGTTAACTCAGATGTAAATTATCACAAGTCTCAAATCATTGATTAACAATTTTGGAACCTGTACATTCTAAATAACAATGAGGAAAAGAATGAAGTTAATGCTGCCCTCTTATTGATAGAAGGCTATTGTTACATGATGATATCACCCATTAGTGCAGTTAATGTTAACTGTTTTGTTTATGTGGTAGCTAGCTCAAGGATAATTGCATTCTAAACTCATAAGCAGATGTGTAAAGGAATTAAGCTGTTCTGTGTAAAGAGGTGAGATATCACCTCAGAATGAAAGGCTTTCATCAATAACAAATTGATAACCTATTGTTCCACAGTTGTGAATTTTAGTTTCCAAGAAGGGTGGAGTGGTTATTAATCTCACTATGCAATAAGATACAAGATTAAGGTGAATTAGTTAGCTTATATCCACATATATCTTAAATTTAAATGTGCATATATTTGTATGTAAAATGAAGTTTTACTAATACAAGTAGCTTTACAACTACAACAAGTGTATTTATGTTGAAATAAATATTAAAAGTACCTTAATTTGCAGGCAATATGTTTTCATTATTTTTTGAAATCGGGATAAGAGTTTGAAACTTTGTTTGTCCACAACAGGAGTGATATGAAATAGTGGATATTTTGAGATGATGTATGGATTCTTTGAAGATTCTATTTTATTTGGTAAAAAATGTTTATGTGATAGAGTGCAAGAAATTAAGGGGATACCAATTACTTTATAATATGTTATGAATTTTAGAAATTTTACAGTGATGACAGAACGAGTCAGAACAGGTATTATACACATTATTTAGCATACTTGGAAAAAAAGTTACATTTGGAAAAAGTCTGGTGTGAAGTTATCAAAATGAGTGTATAAGCCAGTAAATATATTTTTGTAATAAACAGATATGGCAGAGATTATTTTTTTACTTGGATATCTTTGAAAAAAAAAGTTATTCTATTATCACCCAACACTAAATAATAACATCAATTTTACTCCATTGTCATTAATCTAATCTTTTCCATATTTCCACTGTTTTTACTTATTTATTTTTGTTAAAGATGCAATTTTTAATATTTTAACCTTTCTTTATGTTTTCTCTGTCTGTCACAAGTTTTAATGTACATTCTGTTATATTGTTACCATTTAAACTTGTGTTTTTTCTACACTTTCACTTGCATCAAAAACATTTCTTACTAGCTGATGTTGTTTTCAGTAGCTAGAATGTTGTGAATTAATGTTTTAAAGCTGATGATGAAATTTGACACAATTACAAAACTTTGATAATTAAAGATGTTTTTTGGTATTATTGTATTTTTGATATTTGTCATGAAACTTTGTTTTCCACCTTATGAACTTTTACAATGAAGGCATAACAACATAATAGATCAAATGTCTTGCTTAAATTTCATTATGCTTAAAAAACTTGATTTTAGTTTCTTAATTTTTCTATAGTTTCCAGAATAAGTTAGTTATTTCTAATATAATTTAAAGGATCCTCTAATACACTACCATATAAATAAGCTCATAACTGTCACTTAAAGATGACAGAAGTTCTTTTTTTCAGAATTTTTACTAAAAGATACACAAAATGCCATCTGCATATGACCATCCCTAATCCTGAACTGGCAGACTAGAGGAAAAGCACCTAAACAACAGCATCCACTGCCAACTCTAGGGCTTCCCTAATTAGTGGAATTTGACGTTCATGCCTATAATGCACTCACAGCCCCAAACAACAGCCTGCAAATCATGAATCCTCAGATTCACAATCAAAGAATGTTAACCATTAGTCCAAGGTTAGCCACAAGATTTAATAAGTTACTTAAAGTTCTGTTAAAGTAAGTAATTCATACTTCACATCATATATTTCATATATGTATTAATAAGTTAAACTAAAATTTTGAAAATAATAGGAGTCTACTAGTTTTCTTGTTTCAAGGTAAATATTAAACAACCAACACATTTAGTAAATCTACATGTACTGTTACTTAAGCCTCACCTGTAAACCATTCAGACTATGTGATATCAATTTATGATTCTTTGACTCTAATGCTAGCTGCAAAGCTTCCAAACATCTGTACCTTATAAAAGAAATATCTTATAATTAGTTGATTAGTGCAACAAATATTTTATTTTTCCTTAACATGTTAGTTTTGAAATTCTAAAAAATTTCCTTAATATGTAAAAGAAAAAATATTTAATAAATTTAGTTTCTTTAAAACATCATGAAAAAATTATAAAATACAGTTGTTACTAACAGTTTAAATCAGTTTGTATTACTTTTTATAATTGGGTTTAATAGTCATAAACATATATTGTCATAACATAACATTTAGGGACAGCATGTTAAAATTTTGCAAAGCTAATAAATAAATGTATCTATCTAAACTAATAAAAAAAAAATCTTACCTCAGCTCAAAAGGGGGAAGCCTCCTTTGCATAGCCTGGTTGGCTAATGTTTCTGTGTAAAAAAACAGAGGGTTTCAGTAAAATTCCACAAAACTTGAAAACTGAAACTGTTAAATGATGGCAAGTGTAATGATAAACAAAAGACATTTAGTGATTTTTATATGATTAAGTGAATTTAATTTTTTCATATAGGAGTATATTTAATTACTGTTTATTTCCTTAATTTTCAATCTGGCTAAAAATACATTTCACAATTATATATTAACAGAGTGTTAGATTATACCAGATGTGTGTATGTATGTATGTATGTATATATATGTATATATATATACTGTAGCATAACAACCTTTTGTTTTCTTGTTACAGTTACACATTAATCCTAACAACCATTTATGGTCTTATGGCAGCTTCTGAGAAATGACTAACATACAAGCTGAAGTCTACAATATAATAGTATTCTGGAGAATTACACAGAGAGGTCTCACATGTTCTCTGTAATTTTGATTTAAACAAACAAAAAATCTATTTGATACAGATGATAATTTATAGCTATCACATGTTGTGGCCCAGGGTTTGCTTTATCTTTATGTATGAAGTTTCTCCATATATTTTTGCTACACATTATACAGTATCTCAAACATACTTAGGGATATAAACTTGTTCTTATTTAAGGGTATTGGTGTATCATTATCAAGGTTATTATATCTGTAAAAAAACTGTATTTGATGGAATTTTATGCACAGACTCTCACAAAATGTAAGAAACTATACGTGTCTTAATGTTTTTTGTTCATTGTACTTATTGGTAATATAATAAAATGACTTTTTAAAAAGTCCTTCTCATCTAAATGACATTCACCTATAAATATATACATATTAACAGGTTGGATTCTTCTAGCCTCAGGTAGGTATTTTAAGGTATACAGAATAACTTGGGTCAATTGGTTACTTGGGCAGACAGTTGGACTGAGTGATTAACTGGTATAATGATTTGCTATGAGCAGTAGTGGAATCTCACTTCTTACAGGGATTTAAGAGAGGAATCAATAATTTCCTTTAAAAAAAAGGTGAGTTTAACTTTTACTTTTTTATTTAGCTGGGGGTACAGAAACATCATTGCTAAAAAGGAACACCAGGAACAAGTCAGCGCAATGAATTCCTTTGTATAACAAATGGACTGATGAGACACATTTTCTACCAGAGAAGTTACTAAAGTAATAACAACCAAAATAAAAGCAAAATTTATCATAAATGATACAAAGGAGGTGGAGTAACATCTATGCCAAAAGTCTGCCCTTTCAACTTATAGACATGAGATGTATCCAGTACAGCCTCACATACCAGAAAAACAACTATTTCTTGATTTACCAACCATGGAAATGACAGAAGCTTCATCAAAAGGACAGACCATCAAGTGTAAGGTTTTGGGTTTCCAGCGGAACTTTCAAGACAACAACCAAGGAATTTCAGGTATTGTAGTAGAAGATATGAAGGTCCTCTGAGAATAACAGAGAACCTATTCCATCTTTTGACTGTGATGCAAGTTTAAGAGCATCAACCCATAGAAGAGCAGCTATTTGTGGAGCTGAAAAAACAACAATAAAGAACAATAATCAGCCAGTAGGACCTTGGCTTCAGATATGGTAATCCATGTTTGATAAAGAAGGTGCTCAAATGTGATACCAATTTACCACTGAGAATGAGTAAGAACTCAATGCATTTTGGATGAGCTAGAAGAAAATTTGGTTACTAAACACCAGAGAATAAAAGAGATTAAAAGTGTGTAATAACCCTTTATGAATAATAAAAAATAAGAGAAAATATGAGTATGAATGAATATTTTGTTGCCACAGCCCAAGAAGAAGTGAACATAAAAATTTAAATTAGATATATTATATGGCATTCATAGTGTCATATTGTGACACATAAAGGTCAGTATGGCCACCAGTCCTACTGAACCTTGCTCAGACTATTATGTTCCCACTGTTACAGAAAGTTCTTTCTACCATGGACACTCTCAAATACATATGCTCATTGTATTTGGTTGCTGTGTGAAGCATTACTCTCTGTGAACAAGACATTCACCCAAAAGTCATTTGATCAGTCCACATGTTCTTGACTCCACTGTAGATGTATTAGAGGAATATACAGTACATCCCTGGTCACCTGTCAACCTATGTCTGACCATTATCTTGGTGATTTATCACCCAATTACAACTCTGAACTGTTGATTCAGCCAGTCACTCTGAGATTCCATGGATCATTTGAGAAAGTGAACAACTATTCCTACCCTAAAGTCAATAGGCCCTGTATTTGATTTATTGTCAGGCAATTCCAGGTGTTAATGTGAGTAAGGCTACCACATATTATAGGTATTTTAAAGTTGCCATGTCCTCCAATGAAGTTATAATTTTCTGGAAGAATGTTCACATAAAAAAATTCACTATATATTATTTGTCATCCTATAAACATGCTATTATGTATTTCTCAAACAACATGACAATCACACAAAACTCATAACAGAGAATACGCATGACCAAAGTTAGGAATTATGGAGGATCACATTATATGGTTCTAGAATTTTTGTCTCTCCAAGAAAATATTGCCAATACTTCACGTATTATTCTATCAAATATTTTATATAGTTTGATTATTGTTAATACTTTATTTTTTTATTTCATTTAGATGGACCATGACCCAACTACTGTGTACACTTATGATACAGAAACTCTTTCAGAAAAAAGGTGTTTAAAACATGTTAAAAAGCTAAACAAAAGTAGCACACAGTGTGAAATGTTCAAACAGTAAAGTTATACAGCAAAGTATATTCCACATTTCCCCTCATTTATTAAAGTAATATGTTTCATAGGATACATAATAATTAATTTCAGAGCAACTTTATACCTTTAGATTATATTACTTGGAATTGTATTTAAAAATAAAAAAACTGTTACAACAACACTTACCTAAAGCTTCGTGACAAGCTTGTCGTAAAATTGGATGTTTATTTTTGGAAGCATCTTTCAAAATTCTTCCTATAACTTCTTCCATGCTTATGATCTACTCTCACTTTATGTACTTGTAATGCTTCTAGGAATAACCCTATCAAATCAGACCCTGTGGAAGAAATCCTTCAGTTAGAGATAACTTTGGGGAAGATTGCACTATTACAGCAGGAAAATAGCAAATCAGGAGCAGAAATAGGGGAAAAGAAACCAGGAATGAATAGAGTTGTGATAAAGGTTACTTTGAAAATAGGAGTTTTAAATAGTGGTTGACTTGCTTGTTAATCACACTGATAATTATTTATAGTGGGAAGCACAGAAAGACTACAACTAGAATTTGCTTGCCAGGTGCTAAAATACACAACGTTACAGACTGAGTTGACAGTTCAGTTGAAGGTACCAAGAAACATTCTCTAGTGCAGCATTTTTCAATCTTTTCAATACCAGGGACCAGCTCGCTACCTCCCTAAACTATCCCGGCCCACTAAAAGTACAGTGTAAAACCATAACAATTTACGTATGAATACTTAGTCAGTTTTGTTTCCATGAAACCCCACAGACTGGCACCAGTCCACAAACCAGTGGTTGGAAAATACTGCTCTAGTGCATGAAGAAACAAATCATGTTGAAAATTGTATAAAAGAAGAACTGCTAAAAAATAGCTTGGAAAAAGAACTCCTTTTGAGGTTTAGGGATAAAAACAGATATGTCACCCTATGATGCATGCTTCCTTTGGTTAGGTGAGGAAATAAATTAATTAGCAGAATTCAAGGCTTCAATATATGTTGCACAGCTGGATGCATCCTGCACCAAGTGCAAAATTGTGACATTGAATTTTAAAAATTATAGTATATAAACTTATAATAATTCATCTAAGCATTGATTTTTTTTAAATACTTCAAAGTCAAAATTTACTTAAGAAAGAATTCTATCTAATTTAATAGAAATTTTTTTTTTTAAATGTGAATGTTGATTTTGGGATGATTTTAGAATGTTTAAAAGGGTAACATTAGTGTCTGTGGATTTCCTGAATTTTTCTCAGCACAATACAGCACTCAGAGTCCCCTTGAAAGAAAATCAAAATAGTTGTGAACAAAATAGCACCAACTTTAATACAAGTGTAGTTTTATTGATTTTAGCCAATCACTGTTTTTTAATCTGCATTGTTATGGTGCTATGTAGTTGCCTACATATCTGCTTTGAGAAATCACTGGCTAATGCACTAAACACATAAATTAAAGCTTAACTTGTTGATATTTACTAGAAGAAAAGATTTTTGTGAGCACCTTCCATGTATAAAGGGTTTGAAATATATTACTATATTAAATCAAACTTTCTGATTAACCAACTGTGCACAGGATTGGTCCAATATACCAACCCTGTATTGAAGAAGGAATATTGATTATAATTCTGAATTTACAAAGTATATATATATATATATATATAAAATGTTGCAAACGTTTAGTAAAACAACAAGTCTGTTCTACACAAAGAAATCAAATGTGTTACAAAAGTATTTAAGATACATCTGTGAAATTATATCAGTTTAACCCAGGCTCTGACAAGTCAGAGTGGAAGATGATGTTCAAGTGAAGAATAGAAGTTCTTTAGGCCATTGTACAATCTACATATTGCATTTGCATAGCCTCTAGAACCTCAGAAATGCATATTTAAAAATTTTTCTCAATATCCCTGTATATGTTATCCAATATTTATTCTAACATGAACTGTCACTATCAGCAGAGTAGGGTAAAATAAATAGTTTATTACTCTGACATCAAATACATAATACAAAGTTGAATGGGACTCTGTAAAAGATCATGGCATGTGCACTTTGACTCCTACGTATGCACAGACAGTTAATAATTTAAAAAAAAATCAGTTTGTTAAAATTTTGATGTGGTAAAAAGTTATTTTTATTATTCGTCAGTGATTGTAAACACAGTGAAACTATGTGCAGTGTTTTTCAAATCCAAACAAAGATAAGAACTTTAATAAAAAAAAACGTATAAGAATGCAGGACAGTATCAAAATCAAATAATTGAAATTTACAATAAAGTTAAGCACCTTTTGTTCTTTCTTTAAAAAAAAACTATATTTTCAACTTTTTGAAGCTGAAAATCACAAAGATATCACCTGTAAAAATTAGATATTTTATTTTGTAGAAGCTACATAATTTCTAGAATATTCATCTCAAGTTTCAAACAATTTCACCCAGTAGTGTTTGTATGAAATGCAAGAAAATAAACAATACCCAATCTTTTCCAGCCTAAGGCACAATTTTTTAATAAAAATGTTGCATGACACCCCACCCCCAGCACCTTAAGAAAATTAGGTCCAACACACAATGTATTATCATGTGAACTACAAAATCATTAGAGCATAGTGTGATGTAGAGTATAACACCTGTACACTGAAAAAGTAACAAAACAAAATACATTTTGGTTCCATCTACGAGACTAATTTTTATGAAAGATACATTTAATTTATTCATTTTTATTTTCAATTTGCAACTTTTCCAAAATTTCATGGCACACCTGTTCATGTCTGATAACACACCCCTGTTCCATAACCCACATTGGCTTAGAGCAACGTGTGAGCTGACTGAACCAGTATGATCATTTTCAGGGTAAGGGTAAATTATATGGGCTTGACAGGTTAGACACCAGGATGTTTGGGGATGCTCTGAATATTCAATAATGACATTTTTTAAAACTTGCGTAGAGGTGATTGGAGTAACATGGAGTTAGAAAATAGGTGATTTAGATAATAAGAAGTAATAGTTTTACAGATAAGTCTGTCAGATTTTAAAATAAACATAGAAGATTCAAGAATAAGCTTAGTTGCTATTACTCTAATGTTAGGAGTATAAGGAACAAAATGGGCGAGCTGAAGGATCTAGTTGAAATGGAAGACTGATATAAGGGGAATTATTGAAACTTTAGATTTTGAGAACAATGAAAAAAAGGAATTATTTTATAATTCTAGGTTATAAGTTATTTAAGAGTAACAAACTTTTTAAATGGGGGAGGGCTGTTCAAATAACAGATAAACTGTAGTTTGTTGGGATTGAAGATGTAAAATTGGTAGTTATGTGGTGGTTAGTGACATTTGCTAATTGACTCATTATCGAGCTCAACAATTGATTATTTTTATGAGATGGCTAGTAACAAAACTAATCCGTTATTCTCATGAGATGGCTCAAAAAAACTTGTAATGCTAAAAATTGGGTTTTTGATACCTGCAGTTGGACAAGCAAAGACATCCCATTATGTAGCTTTGCACGTAAAAAGAAACATACATAATGGTATTGTTTCAATTATTTTGATAACTGGAATAATCAAAAACAGTAATAATCAAGAGCTCTAATTTTGTTTAGTTGATTGTTTTCATGACATTCATCAATTTAATCATAATTTCAATTATGAGCAATCAAAAAGAGTAATAATCAGAAATACTATCTGATTAGTTTTGTAACATGCATCAATTTAATCATCACTCCGATTAATCAATTATTTTACATAACACTAATTTATTTTAATGCCCAGCTCTACTTTTAAGAGTTGAATGTTTTCTCACTGGTAATTGTTAGAGGTCATAATAAGACAGATTATGTCAATGAAAAATTGTATACTGAGATGATGACTGTTACTACTAAGAGTACTGACATAATAATTATGGGAGATGTTAGACATATTGATTGTGATTGTAAGTATAATAGGGAAGAGAGATGTGTTGAAGTGACTTAAGATAGTTTTCTATACCAGAAAGTAAGAGAACCAACAAGGAAGAATGCAATATTAGACTTATTTGTTTTTTTTGAATTTCGCACAAAGCTACATGAGGGCTATCTGCGCTAGCCGTCCCTAATTTAGCAGTGTAAGACTAGAGGGAAGGCAGCTAGTCATCACCACCCACCGCCAACTCTTGGGCTACTCTTTTACCAACGAATAGTAGGATTGACCGTCACCTCATAACGCCCCCATGGCTGAAAGGGCGAGCATGTTTGGTGTGACGGGGATTCGAACCCGCGACCCTCAGATTGCAAGTCGAGCAATCATAAGTGTAAGCAAACACAGATTTGCTAAAGAGAAATCTTGCCTTATTAATCTTTAATTTTTGAAGTTGTTACTTGTTATCTGGATGGTGGAATGAGTATGAACTTAGTGAAGTTGATTTCTCCCAAAAATGTTGGTACCACTCAAAAGATTAGCTTAGAAAATCACATTGGCATAGGTTATGGAAAGACTAAATGGAATGTAAGGTGGTCAGATGGGAGAAAGCAATAAGGTTATTAATGGAGTCTAGTCAAAGTGGTCCCTTGTTACTAGTAAAATGTCTCAGTGGTTGGTACTTGGGCCTTTGCTTTTTCTTTTTTCCATTAATTATATTGATAGGGATATACATGTAATTAGCAGATTAGTAAATCTTGCTGATGGTATTCAATTCTTGGGTATTTCTAGTTGTACTGAAGATACTGAGTATTAAAAATTACTTGGACCAATTAGTATGTTGGAAAATTATTTGGCAAATGACCTTTACTCATAGTAAATGCAAGGTAATGCATCTGGGTTATAATATTTTGGATCATACATGTAATATAAATAGGAAACAACTCATATGACTGAAGAAAAGGATCTCGGTATAGTGATGGATAAGTCACTCAAGTCATCAAAGCAATGCTCTGTTCTCTGATGCAAGTAGTAAAGCTAATAGAATTTCAAGATGTATTTATAAACATATTGATTATAAATCAAAAAGAAAATTTATACAAATCACTAGTTTGGCCTCACTTAAATCCTATGTATAGTTTTAGTCTCCATATTTTACAAAGGATACTGACTTATTGAAAATGGTTCAGAGAAGGGCTACCAGGATGATTCCAGAGATGGAAGAGTTATCTTATAGGGATAATTTAAAATCTCTTGTTTTCTGTTCAGAAAAGAATGGTAAGAGGTGATTTTACTGAAGTTTACAAGACTATCTAGGGGATAAATAAGATAAAGGTTTTTTTCTGCTAGGTTCCATAGATAAGTAATTTTTAACAGGTGGGACACTGTAGGATAGGACAGTGGTAAATGCCCTAAATTAACACACACTTGCATTTTGGAA